TAGCAATTGTGGCGTGTCAAAATCACAGTCACAAAACCACCACCGTCTACTTATTTTATTATAATGAGTATTTGTTTATTCAACCAGCAAATGTAATGATTCATTACGAGTTTATTCTTCTCATTCACCCTTAATGCCATAAGTATCACATTCTTCCTTCCTTGACATCCTTCTTTGTATCCACCTAATGATACTAGCATAAGGAATTATCTGTCTTCATAAATTCTAGTCTACAACATTGATATTTTTGGCGAGCATTGAAGTGCTGGATCACTCTTCTGTATTGCCGAATGACTGCTGAGAGGAGAGGCTCGAAATAAGCCCAAAAATATATTCCGACTGATCAAATGAACAAGCGCTTAGTGATTACTCGGGTTAACTGCTGGAAACAACCGGTTATGATCGCTTCATTGAAAACAACCGATAGCCTTACTGAATCGACCGTAAACAATGACAAATACAAACCGTTTCAGTAATGACCCCAAGCGACGGCACGAAATAATCATCGCAAACAATAGCCAATGCAACGAACATATAAATAAGTCCAATGAAATGCAGCAAAATCGCACCGTTACGACGTTGTTGCAGTGTGAATAGATCAGGAGGAAATAACGTTGAGTCGGTTGTATTCGTTGCATTATTCTCTTTATCATTTGTTAATGATTTGATAATTTGTTAACGATAACAATAATTTGTATTGTATTTATTATTTATCATTATGCTTAGCAATAATAATAATAATATCAAATATGAATAAATGATATCATTAGCAGAACTAAAGAGAATATCTCTGAACTATGTCATCATATCGTTTTTGATCTATTAATCAGCATCAGCCACTAAAACAATGATTCGATATCATTCATGAGCATGTTCTAATGTACTGTAATTCCAGAACGATAGTAATAATTGGAAATATTAAGAATAACAACAAAAATATAATTACTACTTTTTGACTGTTGAATAGAATCACACTTGGAGTGACTACTTTGTTGCTGTTTGTCAGTTAAACTGGCATGACCATTGTACTCATTGTAATAGTCATAATCAGCCGCCTTATCAATATTGTCATTATTATTGATGCTATCGAAGAACATGAGTCGTCTCATGTGCAGTAATCTGGCTAAAGAAATACTCAAAACAACGGGTCGAGATGCGACCGATCCTGCTGGCAGCTTTGAGGAGTGCTGGTTAGATGAAGATGATTGTGAGTCTGACTGGATATTATTATCAGCGCCAAGTAGCCTGAATTCATTTTCCACTTTTCTGCTATTCAAACTTCATTGTTCATTACTGCTATCATTTGCTATTCATTATCATCTTTAGTAATAGCTGCCGTAATTCAATATCATTACTATCGTTACTATTAAACTACGGAGGACTACTGAAACGGATAAAATCATTATCGATTGATAATAGCGATAACAATGGTGATAATGAAGACAGTAGCAATTAATTCTGATACAATATAAGGATAAATATGACGAAACCTCTCAATCTGATCACCCTCACCAAACTTTGCCATGTCTCCGCCTTGTTTGTAACCGTTTAAATCGTTCTGATCTTGTTCAACAGACCAATAATTTGTATCAATCGCACTCTTTTTTATATCGTTGTAGTGATCAATATTGTAATGAATGAATGATTTGTAAATGAACAATAGAAATACTGATATGATAATAATAAACGGCAATAATTGTTTGCGAATATGACGTCTGTAACGCTGATGAACTATATGACGATTGTGCTGACGATAGTAATTATTACTGATTTGCTTCATTTTATCAGCGGTGATCTGAAATACAAGAGATATTGATGATCGAATTTGAGTCTACTTTATTTCAGAAAGCTTCTTTTGGGATAACTAATGATTTCACGCTCTTGCTGATAGGTATTTATGAATCAAGTATAATTAATAAGAAAGTTAATACTTAGAGTGATCTTATCAGTAAGTGATAGTGAATTGTGGATCGCGACCTCCAAAGGGGCAGTGATAATTGTTTTGAGGAATCGCCAAATATCGGATAACAGTGATATCTTCTGAACATATAATAATGCACAATATATAGGACGTACGAAAAGAATGACTGTGCAGAATATGAAATAAGTAAAAATAATGAAAATGATCAGTATTTTATGGTCGACTTACATAATTGTCCCATAGGTCCTGAAATCTCTATGAAGCTTATGAGACTAGATGGGCTGATTGGGAAGAAGTAATACGTGACAACTGCTGAATGATATCTATGAGAGGAATGATTTGCGATAATCATCTGAGAAGTTACATTAACAACTTTACACATGCATAAGNGTGATCTGAAACATACGAGATATTGATGGTCAAGTTTGAGTTTAGTTTTTTGTACAGAAAGCTTCTTTTGGGATAACTAATGATTTCACGCTCTTGCTGATA